GATGTCAGTAGCAGTCAAAATTGTGGAACAAAGGTTAGCCATCATTGGACTAGATGGTCTGTCAGGACAGAAGTGAAGGGAGAAAGGGGGAACACACTTTCCTAGTATTCCACAATACAGATAGCCAATCAGACAATCGTTAGAAAGCTTTGAATTCTCTTTTCTTGAACAGCAAGTGCTGAATTGCCACCCTTTCCACCTTGCTTAATAATTCAACTGAGTCACTGTACAACTGTTAATAACTGTACCTTCACTGTTAAATAGTTAATTGAAAAATTCAGTCACAAAAATAAAATAACATAAAATGCCCAACTGGAACAAACTGGCCACCATGGAAAAGACTGGGATTACTGGGTATACCTGGAAGTCCCATCAGAAGTTACATTAACATTTTGCCTCCAAAAAAAATGGAGATTTCTTTTTGTTTTATTAAATTAAAACCTACCTAAATGTTATTTTACGTCTTTCTTGGCATTTGTTCACAGCCAACAGACATCTATTCTATCATTCTAAATACAGGAATTGAACCTAACCCTCAAACTGTTTTCTAATGATCAAGTCACTTCAGTCTGATGGACCACCGGCTGCCGTATGTACTAGGGTGAATTAGGGAATGGCCTGTTAAAAGATGGAACAGGCCATTCTTTTGTAACAGTTTGAAGTTTCCTCTCCCAGTACATTTTTTTTTTGTTGAACACCTCCATCTTGATTCTGTGTTCTTCTTCAGCCATTTCACATTCCCTTTCTATCTGTTGAATTTTTGCCACATGCACCTCATTCATTTGGATCAGTTGCAGCTGCAAAATAGACATTTGCTGATGGTGTTCCTCTTCATGCATCTTTTTCAAATCACTTTCTTGAGCAGCTTTATTTCTGAAGTTTTTATTGCCAGTTACTCTGACTGCTGAACAGGAAGGCTCAGATTGTGAGGTACCTTCACATACCTGGAAATGTACAAGTTCTTTCTCTTCATCACATGGTTCTCTGTTTATAACACTGAATGATTCTGGGAAAATAAAAGAAACAGTCAACAACTGTATGACTTTTTAAAATAAAAATTCCCCTACAGAAGATCTAATGTGGCATTGTAGAAAGTTTGTCTGGAAAACCTGGATTCCCATTCTCAGTATGAAGTTTATTGAAGGCCCTTGGCAAGCCACAATTGGCTGAACTATTTTATATAGTGATTTGTTATGAAGAAAAAGCATTTTATAGGAAGGTAAGAATTCAGTGTGAAAAATAAACATGACATTGCACAACTAGAACAATTTGTGTAATCTTGCATTCAGGATACCACTAGATGTCAAAATTGTCTACACCAGGACAAATAACAAATGGATAAAAACAATAATTATAAAAAGACAAAAAGTGATCATTAAAATGAAAACATTATGAAAAATTTTTAAATTTTTAAATGTTAAAAATATACAAACTCCATGGAGAGGGCAGAATATCAATTACAGTGGAGCCATCTAAGAATGTCTCTGGTTCT